AAAAAAGAACTAATGCAACATCGACAGAACTCAGCACTGCAAAATTGATTCAAAAGATAGTGTGTGAGTAGAATAATTTAATAACTCTTGTCGAAAATTTCCCATCCATCATCTACAAGCGCCTTGCGGTCAAATCTGGCTGATTCCTCTTGTTCATTGACCTGTTCATGGTCATTCTTATGTTCAGTTTCCAAGTAATTATCTACCACAGCCACAGGCACTGATTCCTCTTGATCAGGGATTAGGATTTTCGACGATGAGCTGGACGAAGCTAAGATGAAGCTCGTCTGGTTCGAAGAAATTGATTGGCTAAATGGAACTCGTGCATCGAATTTCTCCTTTAGTAGCCTCACATCCTGACATATTACAGCTATTTCTCCTCTGCAGGTAAAAAGCAGTATGCGCATTAAATAAATCAAGAAGAAATATTAGATGCACATGTTAGTTAAATAGAAGCGACTACATGCAAAATGTCCCGTAGCATTGGTCAACAAACCCATAAGGATTTTGATAGCAAATTAGGACAAGAGGCAACGAACTTGGTGGAATTCGGTTAAGAACGGAAAGTTGGCATCTAATGATATTTCATTCGAAGGTATCGTTTCCCATATGTGGTAAAAATCATGTATGATATGCTATGAAATTTTGCAAGAAAATAGCTAACTAGTGAACCACTTGAGATCCACCATCATGTACTGTGGGTGCACTTTCAGAGAAGAAATATACGATCCACACATACACACAACCAAAAAAAACAAAAAAAAAGATGAATCGAGAAAGAAAAGGAAAAAGGAAAATGAATAGCAGAAAAACGGTAAGGTAACATACTGCAACATGTCTACGACATCACCGCGGTCCTGAAGAAACTTCTGCAACTGCAAGACAATGCAAATACAATAATTAGTTGATATAACTTTTTATCCACGAATTTAGTGGGTGGGGGGGGGGGGGGGGGGTGGTAAGGGGGCTATGTACCTTGGCATTAGCTACTGCCTGATCCTTCAGAATCTGCGACTCTTGCACCACTTTTTCCATGATTAATTCCTGGTCAGCGAGTGATTTCAGTGCAAGCTTCTCCTTTTCTTGTTTTATCTGCTCTAAAGATCTTATTTCGTTTTCAGCTGCAGCTAGACGAAGCTGTAAAGTTTGATGCATCTGCAGGAAAAAATACTTGAGAGAATAAGAAAGAGCTGTGACCATTAACCTTCCTAAAGTACTTGAGTAATCTTATGTGAATAGACACAAACATAGGCCAAACTAGCTCGAATGCAAGGTTTCAGCTGGGATGTGATTAATATTTCTCAGTCGGATGGAGAATCGGATTATCTTAAAAACAAAACCATAGACTTAAGATATGATCAAGAGGACAAGCTTTCCAATTAAGTCTTCATACATTAAAAGATCACTCTTGTTATTTCGTATATGTTAACATTGTCCCTTCCTGATTCACAATTCGAAAATCCCGAGGACTTTCGAAATCTTATCACATGCTTAACTTCGGATATGTTAACATTGTCCCTTCTGATTGCTACAAATAAAGTTTGATATTTTCAGATCATATATGTGATGCCCAGTTCAAATCAAAATTCATTGGGCAACAAATTCTATCTGCAGTGAATATATATATTGCTGATGTTAAGGAATAGAAAGGGATATTTTTGACAATCACCCCATCAAGAACTGCGAGATATTTGTCCCTTTCATCAGAGAGGGAGAGCACACGAGACTGAAGCTCTTTCAACTCTGTTGCCAGAATTGCCTTTTCACCATAAATTTCTCCGGCATGCTGTGAACAAAAACACAAAAGTTAGATCACGAGCAAGTGTTTTTGTAATTAAGTAGAGTGCTTCAAAACATGTTCAAGGGATGCTATATTATGAGTAATCGGGATATATATAACCATGGCATTCCCCTCCTGTGCACGCTCCAGCATTTCTTTAAACTCTTCAACCTTTTCCTGTATCTTGACACCTCCCATTGCAGCTTCCTCTTTTGCCTTTTCTGCATCTTGTTCTTTAAGCTCCACTTGCTTCATTAAGCTCACAACAGACTCCATTGCGGAGAACATTTTTTGCTGCAATATTAAAAATTTGTCAGCATATTATCGAACGAAACAGAAACTGGCACGGTTTCAAACCAAACAAAAGAAGACACTGATAAATAATGGGTAAATAATAACAGTACTGATACCTACCTTATTATTTCCAGCATCGGCAATAGATTGCTCAACAACAGCAGTGGTATTGAATTGATTTGATTTGGAGATGGAGGCAGTCAAGTTAGACTCGTCTTCAATGCCAACTGTATCACTAGACAAACCTACGTCTAATTTCTCTAAATTACTTTCATTTACGTCAGGCAACTGCACCAACTGCACCAACTGGACACTGTTTTCTGTTCCATCATGAACACTCAATGAAGCAGTTTCATTCACAGGACTGTTACCATCTTCACAAGATTTCTCGACATTGTTTTCTTCATCAACAGCCGTGCATTTATCTCCCGAGTTTGCAGCCCCTGTTACAGAGTCTCCCGATCCTTCAGGCTGAAGAATATTTACCCCTTCCATACCTATAAACACAGTAGGTTCACCTTGAGAGTGCACGCTACCACTCATCTTAATCCTATTCTCAAGACTTACTTCCGACAATGTCAATCCACAGGTAACTCCCTGTTCGCGATGTACATCATATGCACTTTCATCATCAACATCATAAAAACTTTCAACTTCATTTGAATACTCTGAGCATTGAGTTGATTCTTCTTCAACTTGATGTGCTATTGTACCTACAAGGGATGCCAAAATTACAAGTTAAGCTCGAGATTTATGCAAGAAGTCTTTTAAACAGCCAAACAAAATTGATGAATACGAAATTGATGAATAAAACCGTTACCTTGAGTTGATTCAACACTAGCAACGCTCTGCGACAGAGGACTACTTGGTCTAGACTTTTCATCAAGATAAGGGATGATCTCCTCAAGCACTACCGCTGCAGCTGCATCAGCATCTTTGTGGTGCTCCATAGCAACAGCTTTGAGAATTCGAACATCAATCTTTCAAAATAAAAAAGAGAAGCCAACTAGCATCAAATCTATTTCAGGAAATTGAGAAAATTACATGAAATTAATCATATAAACACTGGCTCTGAGCAATAAAAAAGCAGGCCAGCATGATCACAACCAAAATTCATAAGAAAATAACTACTTTTGCCCCCAAAAAATTAATAAAAAAATGAAGGACTAAATTACCACTGGGAAAAGCTCCACCAATTTCGTATGCACTTCAGTGAAGCCCATATATGAATCCTTTTTAAACATATTCTGCAAATAGCAAAAGCTTGCAGTTTAGATGATCATTCTCAATTTCTCGAAATCCATTCAGTTATCAAACCAATACAACATGCAATCAAATAGAGATAAACATTCAAACATGCATCAACTCCATAAACCCTAACCCCTAACCCCTAACCAGCGTATTTTTTTTTAATTAAATAACAACGATAAAACTGAATCAAATGATTATAAAACAGAATTCCGATAGTCACAGAAATAAAAATATAAAAATCACGACTTTTCGCTTTCTTCGGCATTGAAATACGACGGATTTGGCGAAAGTACAAACCCGTCGAAATCTAATCCAGTTTCTCTATTCTGATCAAATATATGAAAAATGAGTTCATACAACAACGCGGACGACTACGAAAACAAAGAAGAGAGATACAAAAATGAACTAAGCAAGTGAAATTCATCTAAAAAATCGCAGCAAAACCTTGGTAACGAATCCGTTTTACGTTCGCTTAATATTCTCTGATTTTGTGTAAATGTATAATAATTAATATATATACGCTATAGATATATGAAACGACTAAACCTACGATTGCGGGAGAAGATCGACTTGTATATATATATACGTATTGATCCGATTTAGCTGGTTTCTCGCTTGACTGGATTGTACGTTTGACCTGCATTCACCAAGGTTAATACCTTTGACTCGAAGGTACAATACTTACAAGCGTCGGGTGGGTGTAGCAGTAGAACCCCTGTGGCGCTAAAATTGGGTATTTTTGTCGATGTGGGGGTTTAGATATATGTATTGTTTTGGGTTTTGTATGGTTGGAGTTGGACCCTAAAATAATTAAAAATATATATAAAATATTATTATTATTATTATTATTATACAAAGTAATTAGCAATTATACTAAAATAAAATCTGATACAAACTCATATTCCCAAACTACCAAGGTACATATGTAGATCAAAATTCAAAGCATATTTAAAACATCATGGAATAAACCCTCATTCCTGTAACTTGTTTGTATTTGGTTCTTGCTTGCCTTGACCTCCCTGATTCAAAATATAACAATAAAAGAAGTTTATAAATTCAGCTTAATGTGATTCATCTATTTAAGGAACAAGTTTACGAATCGATTTTTTTTTATAGGTGAGAAAAATATAAAATGACCAAAGAAGTTTCGATAAACATACTAGTGATAGCTTTTGACCGGTACTCGGCCGACGATTTGAAGGTGCTCGAGCAACAGATGATGCTGCCGCTGCAGCAGCTACTCGTATCCTGCAATACTCGAATAAGCAATGTAATGTAAGTAAAACCCTTATAATAATCAAATAAATATAAGGTGGTCAAAATATCAAATATACTTTAGGGAAAAAGCAAAAGAGAATTCTTTTTTAAGTACCTTTTATGTACATCAATATATACATCTGTCTCGTCAACAATTTCCTCCTGTATATCGAATAAAAGGCACAATTAAAAATAAATAAATAATTGTAGACGTTAGTTTTGCAGATATTTGGGAGCCTGAATTTCAAGGAAAAAGAAATATATTACTTGCAGAAGTTCTTCAAATACATCTTCCAAGGTGATTATGCCGATAACTTCTCCCTCGTCAATGTCCTCTACTGTGTGTTTCCAACTGTGTGTCATAAAACCATTGTGCCGAGACTTGTCTACGTTGATAACAACACTGTTATTACTTATTTGTCCCTCTCGCTTGTCCAGCAAAGGTTTGGTCAATTGTGAATCCCCATTGGTCAACGTTTTCTTTTCGTGATCATTAGATGAAATGACCTTTTTGTCCTTCTCTCTCACCTTCACCACAGCTGCCATGTGGCTGCTTCCCTTTTGAAACTCGTTCAGAATATCGTACAAGGGCATATCAGCCGGTACCCTGTAAAAAAAGATGGCTTAAGAAAAGATTAAAAAAAGAGAGGAAAAAAAAAGATTCTTTTTTTAGAAAGATGAAGTCACCTAGGCATTCTTCGGATGGAAACAGAGCTAACTGGGGTCTCGGTTTCAGCTCTTACAGTGAGAAGACTTTTAACCTTTGTGATGAAAAGCAAAAGATAATTTAAAACAAAACGAATTGGACAGTAATTACATTTGCTTGATTTGAAGAGATTTTACACAAACCAGTAAAAGTCCAATAATGTTCCTCGCGTTTCCTGAATACACAGGAATGCGACTATGGCCCCGTGCAAGGATTTTTCCAATTGCTTCCCTGCACAATAAGAAACTTACGCTAAAATGTCGAATAAAAGAGTATAAAAATGAAATGATATGATCTAATGATATATATTTAGTTCCGTGAAAGTGGATAAATTCTTAATTCCTTGGCTAAATGCTTTTGCCTTTTTCTTGAATTTTCAATTTCTGATAGAAGTTCGATAATCTGGTGGAGAGAAGAGAACGTAAATGCAGCATCTAGAAGCTTCATGTTTTACATTTAAATGAAAACGGGGATCAAAACCGAATCAGCAATCATCAAACTCACCAATCCAATTTCGAATTGACATCGAGGGAAAAAGTTGATTCAATGGGTGTCATAGCCTCCTCTGCAGTCTGCGCACATTGAAAAAAACACTCGGTTTACTTCACAATTTTTTAAACATACGTTTGTGAAAGGATTCTTCATTTTCAAAACAGTGCATCTTAAGAATCAAGTGAATAATTATAGAGAATCTGAAATCATGATTCATTTTGTCAAAGTGTGATAAAAGAAAAATCCTAGAAAATCAGAAGAGGTACAAAGAATTGACGCATTTTATCAACGTATAAACATTAAAGTAAATTATTACAGAAATGTCAGAAAATCCTCACAGACTTGGTCGATTGGTCGGAGAAAAACTCTATGAAACTTTTAAAAGAGAAGAGTTCATAAGTTCCACAAAGTGATACTTGTCAACTTTGAGCATACCTTTTCTGTCAAATCCAGTGCTCCACTAATAATTGTTGCTTCGTCATGAGTAAGTTCACCACCTTTACCAGCCTATGATGACAGTTTAACAAAAGTAGAACATCAACAACATAACAAAGAGTAACGTGGTTATATCAATCTTGAAGAACCAATCTTAAAGACAATACTCGTACTTGAGTAACGAATTATATCGCAAGAAAAAGGATTCACATTCAATCTTAACATAAGTTTAGGAATACCTCCTGGCTATGAATGGATACAAGTGCTTTTAGTTGAGGTCGCCTAAACAAAGCATCACTGTGGCCCAATAGATAATCCAGAATCTAAATCACAAAACAAGTTGGAAATCAAGAAATGTGACAAGTGAAGCACAGAGATTCTCCATCCGGTATACTATTTAGCTGCAGAGTATAGATAGTTTGCATGATACATATTGAAAATACCTTTCCGATCGGGTAAGAAATAGGATAGCATACTATCATCAAAATTCGCACGAGCCAAACGCAATTTGCACCCACAGCCAGCCCATATCTAGAGCATACCGATTGAGGAATAATCTATTCAATTACCACAAAATATAAAGAGTTAGATTAAGCTTTAAACGGTCAATATTCTATAAAATCAGGACCAAGTGTACCTCACCAAAAGCCAGCACAAATGTCACGGAGAGTATAACAGCAACAACGGGGTGGAATAGTTTATCCAAAAATATAGGTAGAGCCTGCATATGACATTGTGATTCAAGCTAGTGAAAATTTCATACCGCATACTTCACTTTAAATAGAAACGTCTGTAAACCTAAGATTTAAACTCGATAATTCTGTTGTACAAGTTAGAACTACTTTGTCTTCAATCTCAACAAGATGAATCCTTGAAATTTTGGAGATGGTGATAGAACTATGAATTAAACCATCAATCAAACTCGATACAAACACGAAAACACAAACAATGATTTTCATGGAAGGCCAAAAAGGAACTGGCTAACCTCCATGGCAGCGGCATTGCATAGTAGCAGAGTCACGAGAAGTTGGTGCTGCTTTTTAACCACCGGCGAAATAATTGCTGGAAAACAAATTACAAAATATCATAAATCAATTCAAAATTATCTCAAAATTCAACTCAAATAAATTCAAAGGAGAAAAAAAAAATCAGAATACCAGCTTGTCTCTTTTCGATGGCGGTGCCGCTCCGCTGGAGAATTTCAAGTTCGACGAGGCCGAGTGACATCAAGCCCAACGTCAGCCCCGACATTATTCCGGCGAAGAGAACGAGGAAACACGAAATACTCGCGTACACAAACCACCACGGGTTCCCAAATTTGATATCCTGCGAATCCGCATAGAAAGCCCTAGTGACAATCCCGGCCACCGCCACCGCGTTCATCGATACACCTGTCATCGGAAAACAGCGGCGGCGATTGATATTATTTACCAGAATACCACCACCACCTTTCACAATCCCCTTTTTTCTCTCTCTCCTACTCCCAAATATAAAACTAACGGCAAATTGGGGGAGAGTGACAGTTTCACACTCCCTAATTTTTGTACTCTAGTCAGTAACTTTTTCCAATCTCTCTCTACAAAAAAACTCAATTATATAAAAATATTGTCGAATTAGTCAGTGAGTGACAGAGATTGCTGACGGAGGTGAGAGAGAGTGCGTGGGTAAACGATACACGGACAGGGGCGTGGGGTAGTGGGGGTGGTTGAGAGGGGCTGCTGTATCGAATTTGGTCATGTGGTGTTATTCCGTTACGCCACGTGTCCTGTGCTTGAGCTCCGATCGTCGGATGAGATTTTGCAGAATTCGCCGGCGGAGGAAGAAGTGAATCGCCGGCGGTGGGGTTTAGGTGGGCTGAGCGGAGGGGGCGGTGTACACGTTTTTTCAATTTCGTTATTTCATTTGAAGGAATTTTACTAATTAGAATTAATGACTGTACGTGGAAGTTTTTCAATCGTAAAAAATAAAATTGAATTACAGTTTGAACATTTAATATATAAATAATAAACCAAATTGAAGGGCATGCTGCATGCACATTAAATTCGTATATAAAACAAAAATAAAATGAATTTAAAAATGGTCTAGCTTTCACTACACTTCTAAAATTAATTATTTTAATTTTTGTAAGATCTTTTTGAAAAGTAAAATAAAATATCACGTTTTTCATGAGCGTACAGTTTTCAGTAATAAAATCCCTCTCTCTAATTATAGAATTATAAGGTTTAGTTACTATACTCTCCTCATATTTTAAACAAGAAAAACTCAAATCTTTATATTATTTTTTTAATTAAAATAATATTTTTTATTTAATCTCGTGCCTATTCTTTTTTTATCTCTGGATTAAATTTAATTTTATAAAAGGGCAAAGAAGTAAAATGAGAGTGTACCATATGGGCCTAATGGGCTCACGAACCATTTAATTTGAAACTTAGGCCTATTGGACCAGAGCCCAATATAGCATATTATTATAATAAAAAAATAAAATAAAAACTTAAAGTCGCTATTGCTTTAAAGGCGCGTTTATAGAAGTAGCGCTTTAGTCTAAACTCCCGCCTCTGTAATCTGTATATCCGAAAATTCATTGCCTCTACAACTAAATCTCAGCTCTGCGAAATTCGTGAAGCCCCAAAAGCCTAAACCCTAGATTCCCAAATTCCTACGAATCACCAAATGCTGTCGAAATTCAGAGAATTCTCATTATTTCAGATCTCAAATCCGAAAACCCAAGCGCGATGCTTTTTGCTCCAATTCTCTGCATCAATTTCAAGCCTAAAGGTAGTATGGCGAAAGGATCCAAAACTCGACCAAGCAATCGAAAACGACAAGAAATGGCGGATGTGCGCTAGGGTTGTCAGAGAAGTTTTAAATGAGCCGGGCCAGGTCATCGCGCTTTCGTACTTGCAAAAACGCCGCGAGCGGCTTCGATTACACGTAAATGTTCCAACTTTTCTTGCCCAAAACCCAGGTTTGTTTGATATGTATAAGGATAGGATTAAGCCCAAATCCGATTTAGTTACTTTTGTTCGAGCGAGTGATAGGCTGAACCGGTTTTTGGAAGAAGAGAAAATTATTCAAGCGGAAAATGAGCCGTTGATTGTTGCAAAATTGTGTAAATTGCTGATGATGGCAAAGGATAGGGTCGTTTGTGCGGATAAATTGGTCGAGGCGAAGAGGGAATTCGGCTTCCCAAATGATTTTATGGTGACACTGGTATCAAAATATCCCGAGTATTTTAGGTTGCATGGAACACCAGGAGAGGGACAGTCGTTTCTTGAGCTGGTTAATTGGAACGAGGAATTTGCTAAGTCGGTTATTGAGAAGAGGGCGGAGGCGGAGTCAACTTCGCTCGGATTTAGGGTTAGGCCGGACTTTGTCTGGAAACTTCCTCGAGGGTTTTTCATGAAGAAGGAAATGAGGGAGTGGATTAGGGATTGGATAGAGCTGCCTTACGTATCTCCGTACGAGGATGTCTCTCATTTGGATCCTGCTTCACGAGAAATGGAAAAAAGAATGGTGGGTGTTTTCCACGAGCTGCTTTCGCTTTCAATTCATAAGAGGGTTGCAGTGCCGATTTTGGGCAAGTTTTGTGAGGAGTATAGATTTTCTAATGCTTTCTCGAGTGTGTTCACGAGGCATTCGGGTATTTTCTATATGTCACTCAAGGGTGGGATTAGGACTGCTGTCCTGAGGGAAGCGTATAAAGGTGACGAGTTAGTTGATCGTGATCCACTTCTTGAAATTAAGAACAAGTTTGTTGAGTTGCTGGATGAAGGGCGCGAGCAGAGGGCTGAGCAATTGAGAATAAGCAGAGAAACGATTCAGAAGGACATGGAGTTGATGGCGCGGCTTGGAACAAATAACTGAACTGTCACAAGCAAATAATTGAAAATCGAACACATGGAAGAAGTTTACCCATTTTGAGTGAAGATTGGTTTCGAGAAATGGATGCTTGATCAGAATAAGACACGTCCCATGTAGTGAAACAGATTTAATGAAAAAATATATCGCTGGATCTTGCTCGTGGAGCGGGAGCATCATACAAGTCATAAGTTAGGATGAAGGTATACATTATTTGGCATATTCGTATCAGTTGATTCCACTGTTGTGAAAGATGCATATTGATAAACTAATTATTCATGTATATATCTGTGTGCCAATTTTACTTTGGAAAATACCAATCTCAACCCTAAACTATTTCGTGTCGAAAATGGGAAGGATCTGTATCGTGTCTTTGTTGATAAGAAAAAAGTGCTGATGAACCATGATTTGAACATTGAATATTAAATTCAGTACGAATATTTATATTAAAGGTTTATTTAGTCATTAGGGGCAAGCCTGTAGAAACTAGAAAGTAAGAGATATTGTAGATTTTCTATCTTCTGTTGCAATTGAAACCGTTTTCTAGTAACAGACAACCTTTGTATTCTTACGTTCCCGTATATTTTTTTAATGGAATCATCTTTGGAGTATGAAGATTTCGGCATCCTTTTTTAATTTGAAAGAATGTAGTTCGTGCACGCAAGTTGTTGTTATGTGAAACTCAGTTACCTAACCGAATTACAGTGCATGCATAATGAATGATGGCATTGTTAACTAATCGGACTCTACAAATAATCTATTACGCAGGATTCATTGAGTTGTTTCTTTGTAGTTGATTTCTGAACCTATAAACATACCTAACTGAAGATCATGTAAAGCTTGTGACTTTATAATAGAAACGAAAAAAATAAAAAACTATATAAATAGGGGCAAAGATTATCTCACAGCTAACTTCTCTCTAATCATTTTCTCTTTCTTGCAGAGATCGAAAACATGGATGGAGGCATTACTCTCCAGTCACTACTAGTAACAATGATGCTTTTTGTACTGTACCCATACGCAGAAAGTCAGTGGGTCCCACATTTCCCGTTAGCTCCAGTTCGTCCACCTCCACTCTGTGCATCACAATACGCATTAGCCAATCGTGCTTGTGCTATGTTGCCTTATACCCCAATCCCACCCCCATCTCCCCCTTCCCCACCTACCCCACCACCCCCACCACCCCCGACGCCGACTCCTCCATCCTATGGTCATGGTCATGGTCACGGGCATGGGCATGAGGTTGACCATGGTCATGGACATGGACATGGTCATGGGCATGGGCATAGACATTCGAGACATGGGCATGTAGAAACTCAGGCTGAAGGGGATTGCTGTAGGTGGTTAAAAGAAATCGACGACGTCTGCGTTTGTGGGCTTTTGGTTCGTTTGCCTGCGTTTCTTACTCGGCCTGTTCACAATTATACCGTTGTTGTGGACGAATCGTGCACTATTTCGTTCGCCTGCGGTTCAAGGTTGACACCCTAATAGCTACCCCTTCTCAATACTCCAATAAACGAGGAAAATTTGTCTGATTTTATTATTAATATAATATAGATATATAGATATATTTATGTCATTGGATATTGTAAGGTTTATTTTTAGTTTATGTAATATGAAATTGTAAGACCTGTTATTTTGAGATTATGCTCTGGCAATGTTTGTGCACCACCATCTTGAAGATGGAGAGTATCAGAAATATCTTATTTATTTATTTATTTATTTATTTATCTGTCTAATTTGTTATTTAGACGAAGAATTTCAGGAGATATTTCTCTCGGCAAAACACTGCTGAAACTTGAAATAAACTAATTAATTGAACATAATAAAGTTTTAATTTTTTGTGATAGTAAATAATAAAATTAATTATTATTAATAATAAAATAAATAAAAAAATGGAAAAGAGAATGGGATCCTACATGCTGACAGTGGGTGAAAATGAAATGACTACCAAAAATAGTGATTGATTGTGGATGAGTCTTTATTCCAAACTTATCTTTAAAAACTATTTTTTATAATTTTTAGAATATATATTATTTAAAATATAAAAAAAATGTTGAAGAACAAACAGTCCTTGAAAGTTGAAACTACTAAGTGGAGGGGTAGTTGACTCGCACTAATCTTTAGATTTAGAGCTCCAATTCGCCGCAAATTTAGGTTTTGTCTTCATTTATTATATATAGATTGATCATATCTTCTGGACTAAAAAAATAATGTGTGTTGTGTTAGCATGCAATAACTACAGATGAACACACAATCACCCCCTTTTTATTAATTTTCTTTCATTTCTTGAACTTATAGAGTTGACATCTACTTTATTGATTTGTTGAGTGTGGGTTGGTTGTAATTTCAAAATGAACATTACTATTTTTAACTTTTTCACTTGCTAAATATATATTGTTCAATATTTATTATGGACCAGAATTTGCACCCTAAAATATCTCCCTTTAAATTCAATTAACTCGATCGTCATAAAGTTCACTCGACACCGGATGTAGGATCGGCAGTGATAAAAATTTCTTAATGGGCATTCTTATTTTAGAATCTTTTTATTAGTCGATATTTAGGAAGAATATCTTCTTCTTCCGACGATTCTCATTCAGCTCGCTACTTACCTCATTGATCTGCATATTCGAATGGACTAGCGAATTTGATATTAACGATTTTTCTTTCGATGAGCTTCTAATAAGGTCATATCTTCAATGCGCACTGGGTCTGAGCTTCTTGGCCCCATAAATCCATCTTGGGCGAAATACATACATATACCACTTATTTTAAGTTGGATTTAATATGCATTATAATTGGAGAATCTTATGCAACAATACATATGTTGGATTATTTTAATAAAAACAATATATTTTATTATAAATTATAATAATGACTTTGACCACTTTTATGAGGGTCATTAGACCACTATTTTGAAACCTTCAAAGTCATTATTTACCTACATAAAATACCATAATTTCTATATTAAATTGAGGTTTTATGGGGGCTATATTATATATATTATATAAAGGGGATATTGTGGCTTTACATGGTGGTGTGTGAAGAGAAAAATAAACACTATTCATTTATACTATATACATATATTGTGAGCTCTTGTTGTGTGTCGGGTGTAAGCTTCTACTTCACTCGAACGTGCAATTTCGGTGAAGTTACAGCGGAGAGATAGGCTGGGCTGTTGTATCCCAAAGGCGACACGATCGGAACCTTTTTGCACCTCATTAGAGAAGGGGTCGTGAAATTCGTCTTAAGAGAGCGACCTAGTCCGCGCCTCACCTTGCCTATCTCCATATTATCGTGGTTTTTATTGCAGAAACTTGTTACCTATAAAATTGGAGAACAAATGGAGTCCAAGCCTCAATCGACAAGTTTCGTGATCAATCGTCAAATTACAGCCGTGGTTCCAACAATTTAAGTCGAATTTTGATCCCATAAAGATGAGCTTTGACGATGATCCAAAACAGGCTCTTGATGATAAAAAAGGGAGATGATAAATTATATTTTATTGTATTTTGATTTGACGAAAAAAAAAAAAATTAATTAACGATCTTATTTTTTGTATAGGTGAATTTTCGTACAATTCACGAGGGCAGATTTTGAGTCAAATTTCGGACCTGATATAATCATATTCTGAGAATGTGTAAAACACAAAAGTTGTAGGCATTTGTGTTGGCTGTTCAAAACATATTACATCGCTTGAATCGGATCTCAAACGAGGGAGGTATGCTCAAAATACTGAACACTGCCGAAGCTGCCAAATTGTGCGCGTTTTTGAGGTATCGAAAGAATTCGTAACAGAAATTCATCGAATCTGGTACGTTCTTCATTTCCAAATTAATTATGATATCTTGCAATACAATAATAAGTTTTTAATAGTTGTGTGAAGAATAATTGCATGATAAGAATAGTTGTGATGTCGAGATTCTAAATTAGACTTTGTAGAATGAAAAATTCACAAATGTGATAATACTCATGATTATATCATTGCATGTTAATTGTGTTGATGATTCGTGTGTCATATTAAAAGTAAAATATGCAAAGGTTTGAAGTACAACCATTTGCTTGAATTATTTGGTGGTTGTATAATTTCTTATACTGGAACACTTCTGCATATTTTAATTCCTACATGTTTCTGACCGTTTCATAATTTGTTTTAAGAAGTATAATGAGTATGCATTAACTTATCATAAAAAATAGTTTGACCAAATTTGGGGGATATGATTAAATTGTCGTTTTTTTCAAAAATAATCTACTGATTTGTGAAATTAGTACTACTTGTTCAACCTTCATTTTCTAAAAATAAAAAATAAAAATTACTTTGTGTCGTTTGTCTTTTGAGTAATTAATACATGAGTAAAGAATTAGTAATGTGTTGATTAACGTGTAATTAACTGCATATTATGACCTCCTGATGTTTTTTGATTTTCTTACCGTTTCTTTTAGAAATAAATTTGTTAAATAAAACGCATGTCAAAATGTCATTTTGATATTACATGTATCATTTTTTTTATGAGTGATAAAGAAGCATGGTCCTTTTTAGTTTTCGTTGGTTATCTGATTAAGTTACTTAAATGTTTATGTGATACATGAAGAGTTTTGAATGCTCTATTATATTACTTTTGTGTGTTCACTGCATGGCTTACGTATTATCTATGAACGGCAATATATTTACATGAGCAGTGATTATCAATTATGGTGAATTATTAGAGCAATTGTTTATAAAAATAAATAATTTATTTAAATGGAGAATTAGTGGGGGTGTTATAGTTTTCTTTAATTATGAAAATGAGCATGATCGTAGTTGATATATTCTATCTTGATTTTAATTCATGATCATTAGGAAGAGATATACAAGCTTTTAATATTGAGAATTAGTGGGGGTTCTAGTACCTATCTAATTGAGCATGTTATAATTGATTTTGATGTGATCTTTAATTAATTGCTCATTTTATGATTGTAAATTTGTGATTTGTGATATGTGAAGTAAAACATTTTTGAAAATTTTCAATGTTGTTGGTTATTGAAAATTTTAATAAGAGGAATTATATTCCTACTTGATTACATGTTTTCTTGTGTGAATGGGCTATATCGAAAATTTAAAGTCAAAACTCATATCAATTTTGATTGATTATTTTGACATTAGCCTGTGAGGAGGCCGGTTGATACCGAATGTGGTATATAAAATCCTAATGTGGGATAGATCAATGCTTTGTGCTTTGATAAATATGATTGAGAATAAATCAAATGCTTTGTGCTTTGATAAATATGATTGAGAAAAATCAATTGCTTTGTGCTTTGATAAATGAGATTGAAAATTTGCAGTTGGCATATTGCGAGAATCTTTTAATGGAATCCGGAACCATTAAAAGAAAATACAGTACTGTGAATCTATGTGAATATTCACGTGAAAATCTATGAGATATTACATGTAAAATTATTTGAGAATGGTTAATAAACCATTGAGTTTTCGAGACTAAATGTCGGATAAGCACTACTAAAATTTGTGAAATTATATTTCACATTATTTCAGAAATTATCTGAAATGCATCGAGGGGGATTGGATTATAGCCTAATATATTTTGTAAAGTTGTTGATGAGGATACTACCGCCTAGGGGCTAGAGATCCTACGAACTAGGCGAAGAAAAACGAATCTGAAAGCAACTTGATAGTGATAAAAGTGCATACTTTTATTATCCATCCCTATGGTGTGTGTGCACTAATAAAGCTCGTAACGAATTGTGAGGTTGAGACTTCGATCTCTTAATGATTTATATAGCCCGAATGGGTGGGGTGTTGGAGTTACGTAAACATCCTTGATAGAATTCACCTTGTGAGTGTGGAAGTGGGGCCGCTTCCTATGAGAATTATAGGCTATTCTCTAGAGCTCTCACGAGAAATGGGGTAAAGCACATGGCCGTTAATGTGCTGGCTTTAGAAGCTTCGATCGGGACACTTTGAGTATTATGTGTGCAATATGATTCTACGTGCCCCAAGGGTCACTGTTTCAAGGCTAAGTCCACTTTGATTCTAGTACGGGAAACATATTGTACTAAGTGAAGGTTTCAAGGCATTGCTCACTTTCATTATGCATAATATTCCGCAAGAGCTCAAGTATATTTATATTCTTATTTTTATTAAAATAAGTGGGGGATTGTTGGATTATTTTAATAAAAACAATATATTTTATTATAAATTATAATAATGACTTTGACCACTTTTATGAGGGTCATTAGACCACTATTTTGAAACCTTCAAAGTCATTATTTACCTACATAAAATACCATAATTTCTATATTAAATTGAGGTTTTATGGGGGCTATATTATATATTATATAAAGGGGATATTGTGGCTTTACATGGTGGTGTGTGAAGAGAAAAATAAACACTATTCATTTATACTATATACATATATTGTGAGCTCTTGTTGTGTGTCGGGTGTAAGCTTCTACTTCACTCGAACGTGCAATTTCGGTGAAGTTACAGCGGAGAGATAGGCTGGGCTGTTGTATCCCAAAGGCGACACGATCGGAACCTTTTTGCACCTCATTAGAGAAGGGGTCGTGAAATTCGTCTTAAGAGAGCGACCTAGTCCGCGCCTCACCTTGCCTATCTCCATATTATCGTGGTTTTTATTGCAGAAACTTGTTACCTATAAAATTGGAGAACAAATGGAGTCCAAGCCTCAATCGACAAGTTTCGTGATCAATCGTCAAATTACAGCCGTGGTTCCAACAGCATATATAGATATACATATTACTAAGTAATGTCAACATCAACAACTCGAAATCATGAGCAACCATTTGTGCATATGATTGAAAGCTAAAGGCGTGTGTGATTCACATTCCTACATAAATATATTATTCCCTTTTTTAATTTTCATGGCTGGCTGTCAATAATATATAGATAGGATCTAACTATTAATTTGTCTTTGGAATTTATTTCCTTTCTCTTTCAATCTTAATTTCATCTTACGGTTACGGATTACGGAGCCCCCTTCAACCATGTACGGAATTTTGGCACAAGGACACTTACTTTTTTCATTTTTGTGGTGGACCAAAATTATATCACCATCTTTATTAAATTTATTCAAATTCTAAGTGTATGTCACAATATTCATATATTCTATCTACACGATTCGTATGCGGGGCCAATTATTATTTCATTCCAATTTTATTTCCAAATACAAAAAAAAAAAAAAAAAAAAACCTAGACGTCGTTTATATTTACATAGGAGACAAATCGAAGAAATTAATACTAAATAGTCCACATCCTCAAAATTTTAGTTGGGTGAAATCTATGATTAAAATCGATGGAGTATATTTCGATATTTTTATTGGGCGCTCTTTGAATGTTATTAATGGACTAAACTCTCAGTTCAGCTCGTCAGCTTAGTTTACACCGGTCCACGATGAATTATTTGGGAAATTAGCAGCAAAATCCTACATAAAAAATCTAATCTAGGTCAAATTTTGAGAAATTTTATTTCGATTGAAATATTTATTATCGGTAAATACAAGTTTGTTCTCATTTTCTGCGTTGTTACTCGCTTTTTTTACTTGAGTTGTGGAGTGCCGGGATCAAGCCCTCGAGATTTCATTTCAAGCTCCGGCGTACGAGTAAACGTGTTCAAGAAGAGCCAATTTCGATTGATGCTAAATCGACATCTATAAAAAATAATTAACAAATAGAGTTATCATTATTATTTCCACCATTTCAGTTATATCTAGCTTCAATGCTTAATTCATGCAACACCAGTTGATTGTATTACTTATTCACTATTTTGATTATGAAATTAATTATGTAACAAATTTATTGCAAGAATATAGTTAAAATGCTTGTAATTCACAAGGGTAAACTGGTAAAATAATGCATATTTTATAATACTATTATATATTTTTTTTAAATGCGATGACAAAATTGCATTTATTCCCAAAACTGGTACACAAGAATCGTATTACATTCCCCTCAACCCTCAAAAACAACTGGCAGTATCTGTATCCTAATGAGTCGCCGTCGCCATCAAGGGACGACCAACGCCTCTCATCGCCGCCGCCACACCGCCGCAAACCACCGCCGGCGCCGGCTCCATGTCGTACAAAAATCTACTCACCAGCGCCGCCCCGGGCCCCGCCACCGTATTCTCCCACGCCGCCTCCGCTTCTCCGCCGCGCTTCCTGAACACATCAGTCGCGTCGAGGCGGTGCATCCTCCACCCCTTGATGTTCCTCAGCCGGTGAATCTTCTCCAGCTGGCGGCGCGAAAGCCTGCTCGTGTTCGATTTTATCGAATCGATCGCCTCCGCCAGAATCCTCGCCCGAGTTTCGTCGTCGCAGAACGATTCGACTCGGAAAAACTCGTCCAACTCGGGGACGCCGATCGCTCTCCGAATCCCCCTCGAGTAGTCGGCGTTCGGCCGGTAAAAATCCCTAACCTCGTCGATCATTCCCCTCTCCACCATTTTATCGACCCGATCCGAAACGAAGGAATGGAGCACGGGCATTCCAACATCCACCCAGAGGAAGCAACAATCGTACCTCAATTGAAAATTCATGTCCACTAGGGCTTCCACGAACGAATTTGAACCCCCAACGATTATTGGAAGATGACCTCGTCCGAGTATCGATCTCATAGAAATGGAAGCCACGGCGCGGAAATTGCCGGCGGAGAAGTCGGTTTCGGGATCGGCGACGACGCCGAGGAGGTGGTGGGGAACGCCGCGCCGCTCCTCGTCGGTGATTTTGTTGGTGGCGATGTCGAGCCCTTGGTAGACTTGCATTTTGTCGGAGTTTATTACCTCCGCCGCAAAGCGGGTGGCGAGGTCGATCGAGAGGCGGGATTTTCCGGTGCCGGTGGCGCCCATCACCACCACCACCTTCTCCTTGTGGCGGAGGAGCTGGTTATCACTCCCTGGAATGTGAAGAAGTGGCCGTACTTGTTTGGATACTGATAGCGACATTTTCATTTTCTTCACAAAAGGTAAAAAACAAAATACTAAAAATAGAAGTTTTTTATACCTTTACCGCCGAAAAGATTAAAATTGAAGTGATTATTTAAGAGAGAGAAAATTATTTTATTATTCAAATAAAATATCTTTTAGTAGCCTAAATATATGTAAGATAAGAAAATAGGGAGACGCGACGGCTCGAGAAATGAATTGGACCAGTTATAGAGAGAGAGGAAAAAATGAAATATTTTATTGTAGAGGAGTTAAGTATAACTCTTGGTTGAAGAAGAGAGAAGTGGATTGAGAAGCAAAATGGGAAATTTTGTGGAGTATTTATGGGAGAAACACACAAGGTTGTTAATTGGGTTCACCTTTCAATTCTATTATAGTCAACTCCAACTCGCTTAATGCCTTTAAAAAGTAATTTCACTAAAGATTCCCTTTGTTTTTGTGTAAATATGTGATACATCATTTTTGTAGATGTTACACCGAGTAAAATATATCAGATGATAAAATTTTAATAAAACCACTGATTTGGCCGTTTTTTTTCAAATTCAAATATTATTGTTACAAATAGAGACGATTAGGAAGTGGACAAGATTCGATCGTTACACATTGAAGTGAAATAGGTAAGACTAATACCAAACTCTTGTAATAAAAACAAAAAAAATAAGGATTGGTTTTATTTGGGTGATGATGGTGCCTCTATGCATGAACCTTAAAAGCTTCCATTTTAGAAGTGAAGGGTAGTAGAGACTAGAGACTAAGGCAACATTGTTTTATTCCATATAAAGAAAATAAATATGGGTTTTGAGTTTAACATATTCAAAATCGATCTGGAAAGTTCATTGACAAAATTTATTAGGTGGTGAATCCTGAGCAAAAAAAAAAAGTACGAAGAAAAAAGTTCATCTTCTTTTGTGCTGGGTGGAGAGAATTAGAACATTTTAAAATCTGAAAACGAGTTGTAGTGTACCGGAAGTGGAAGAAGGAATATTGTCTTTTATTTAATCACTGTCCTGCATTTATCTCTTTCTTTTTCTTATTTTTTATTTTTATTATTTTATTTTATTTTCTTATTTTTGGCCTTCTTACTCCTTTTTAGAGTTAGGAGTAGCTCGACTTATGAGATCATACACCGGTGAAATACACCATGTAGTTTTAAACTGTAGATTTACATAAATAACTATATACTAAACACATATAACACATATACATGAGTGTGTGCATTATAATGTGTAGATCAATAGTGCATGTTCTACAAAATCGGAGTAGATCAGTGATAATCCTTTTAGTTTAATGCTTGAGAAAAAATTAAAAGATAATATAAATAAATGTTTTTCTTTTGTTGAAAATAGATGGTGGCTTTGTCTTTAGCAGATTCATGCTTATTAGAAATCCCAAATTGAAATTCTTTACTGTTACTCCAGTTGTTCCAAACTGAATACTTTCAATTTTGTATGAGATGTTTCAAAGCAATAAATTATATATATTTTCCACTATATAAGTCATAAGATATACATAACACTCCTGGCCAAATAGTCATGTGGGATCACCACTACATAAAAAGAAAACTGCAAAAGAATGTTAAATTTTTAATTCATATTATTCTAATGAATTTATGCCACATTAACTTTTTAAACAAGATTAGTATCAACTCATTTCAAATTTAATGTACGAATCCTTAAATCTGAGGATTCTGAATGATTAAATAATATAAGAGAGGGCAACAGAAAAAAGAAAAGAAAGGTAATTTCTGATAATGGAAGGGAATTCTCTTAGTTTCATCAACCTTAAAGTTGACCAAAGTTATAATCCCAAAACATTACTCGTTTAGTGTGCTTAAGGGAATAATATCAGATGTCAGGCCTTAATTGAAGTTAGCTTATACGGTATACCAAAAGACACATGTAAGAGAGGCAATTAAAAAAATGACCATTTTTTTTTCTGTTCTTCACATACTACCATACAAAAAATATAATTGTTTTTTAGAAGCTCGTCACTATTAAAATCACTTAAGTACATTTCTCTCTCTCTCTCTCTCTCTTATTTTTTTCCCTTTTTTTTAATGCAAAAAAATTTGGTCAAAAATACGAATCACGATATGCAAAATTTACGGTCTGCAACATGTACAAGTACAATTGAACACTCTTTACTATATTAAAAATATGACATCAAATGTAATACTCACATAATTCCAAACAATAGCATGATAACTCATTTATAGTATAACTCAAAGCATAAAAGGACAAACAATAAAATTCTAAAATCCCACATCTCGAACAATAATATTTTTTAAATCCATCCGTGACATTTTATATTATTCAGGAAATAAAATAAATAAAGTTGCAAGTACGCCTTTATTTCTCAGTGTAGCGCACATACCATTGTTCAGGCAATTTATCATGGTAGTACTATAAATGCTTAAAAAGTCCACATGTGGTAGGAGAGAGGTTATGATTTGTGACTCATGAGGAGATGAAGAGATGGCATACATAGTTAACCTGTATAAATTAAAATTGGACTAGCAAAATTCTATTAATTTAGCAAAATATTAAACTATCAAATTAATAGTTTAGTGCATCTTTTTAGAGTCGGGATCAGAATAAATTATTATTTAAGCAATGCTATTAATTTATTGAGGTTATACTCTATATGATGTTGGTAGTCCACTTACAATCTAAAAAGTCTAAAGCCTCGAGTTCCCTCTCATGAACATGTACTAAATGATAAGAGTTAGTACATGTTCGGTTAGTAACAATCAATCGAACTCAGACCTTCGGTAAATCCGAAAATCTACAGGTAAACGCAACTATTCAATAAAATAACTAGTTACCCTACCACATTCAATCAATTTTTAGATAATTACTAATAAGATAATTATTAAATATTTAGATAATTATTGCGAAAGAGTACATGAAGATGCTAAATGCAAACTTTAAGAAGAAATCAATAGAAAATTAAAAATGATATATATATATATATATATATATATATATATATATATATATATTAATAATTTTTAATTTTCTTGAGAGGTCAGAACTCGCAAGAAAAAAAAGGATACAATGTGAAAGAAGTAAGAACAGTATTTAGGCGTGCTTCGAGCACGAGTTCTTAGTGAAAAGCCTTCACTTGTTATTAATTCTTAGTAATTTATCCATCACATCAATGAATCTTACATCATCCATTATAACTATATCATTTATATATTATAGGCACATCAAAAAAAAGGACAAGTTCCTCATTTCCTGTCTTATATGAATATAATCTCCAACATTCTTAAAATAAAAATAAAACTACACTGAATTACTCATCTAATCACACACAATCAAATTAATCCATATTTATTTCACTTAATCTCATATAATCACACAAACCGGGCACATAAATTACCAAATAATGCATAAAGAAAATCAATGGGAACACAATCAGAAAATCAAAGATGAAGGTAGGTATGATTATTCGTCGTTTTTTCGAGAAGTATGAGTGAGTTTGCAAAAGATGAAGACTGATTTGATTCTAATTGTAAAGCTCCAACTATAGTTAAATTCAAAACCACTTCATTTTACCTCTAAAGAACCACTCATGAGAGAGGTGATGTCACGTTGGATGGCAACCGATGCACTACCGTCACATCAACTGTGCATATATTCACTTGATGGTCATAAATGGACAATTTTCTGCATGTAAACCAAAAGCACAGATCAGATTCAAGTCCCGGTTAAATATTTTTATATAGATAAAATCTACCGTTATCTTGAAACAATCCCATCCAGAACAGGCAAGTCAAAAAAGCATTGCAGTATCGCAGATCATCGAAATTTAAGGCAAAATTCTATAGTAGGTCTAGTAGCCAGATGGGGTGATTTAGATGATTGCAAGCAATAATGCCAAAGACAAAATTGGTAAAAAAAAAAAAAGGCGCGGACAACCCCACCTCCATCCCAAAAGAAGGCATAATTTATAAAGAAATAAATAAAACAAATATAGTTGTAACACAATTACAAAATCAAAATTACTGAGTACTTCTAGTGGTCCTGTTTGAAGGTGCACTAGATAAATGACGACTAATTCCTAAAAAACCACAGCCAGCAATCTAACTTAATGTCTGAATTCTGATGCTATGGCTCTAGTTGGTATCGAGACGAGGCAGAATAAAGGCGAGACAAAGGTACTTCAGATCCGGCTTTTGTCATGGGAAGATATTAGAACATATGTCCCTGCCTTTATTCATTTTAGGTATTTATTCTTTTGACAATTGACATTCACAATGCCAGAAGGACGCTGCTTATATTCTCTCGTTTTTTTTTTTTGAACTACAAGCAACCAAATGTAAGAGAAAAGACCCTGTGAATTAATACTCAGGACCATCTAGAATAAAGGCAGCAAAACATCTTACCCCAACAAAAAACAGATTCCTAATCAATATCATCACAGCTAGAAAAAACTGGTATCAAGCGCGCAGAAGAAATGTGTCGAATTATCAAGTATAAAACTGTCAAAGAAACTAAGGTAGAGACCATATATTTCTTATGTTGATATAAAAAGATAGAACACTAACCCTGCATGTCCAACATCTCTGTGGGTTCAATTAATTCCTCAGCATAAGTCATGGGCATCACTATAAGACCTCTGCTCTGTAACAATTCAGTAGCTGCTGAAGGATAAAAATCGATCAACTTCCCCATTACCTCTTCGAGAGGCCCACTGAGCATCTGGTCCTTCAACATATAATGTCCGTGTCCCTGAAACAATAAAAATTTACATGTCAAAACAAGATTACACTTGTAACACCCTTTTTTTTTTGGTATAGTTCATGTCAGAATTTCTAGTACCTCGAAGAATATTAAAGAATTACTAATTGGTTCGCTTCCCAATCTGTTTTGACACAGATCCTGCATAGTCCGATAAAACGAGTGTGTTTGAGTAAAGGTCAATTAACATAGAAAGAAAATAGCAACAGAAAATACCAGAGTAAGCGAAATTATCACATACAACTCTGACAGCATTGAAGAAAGACTTAAATCGAGTGATAGGTTATCTACCCAAAGATAAAAGGAATAAATATGCTCCCTTGCAAATGTTATCGTGGTAAAAATGATGAGAACAAGTCCATCTAGATTTGAGTGCATACACTACTCAGTACTCAGAGCTGGATTTTTCAGTAATGTTGCTAACTAACTTTATACACTTATTACTCAACGCAGACAGATAAGATGATATGCATAGCAACGAGATGAATCACAAAAGTGAAAGGCTGTCATCTGTGGTGTTTGACTTAAACTAGTATATAGAACAACATTCAGAAGGTCTATACATTTTGTGACATCCAATCAGCACAGGAAAAATAAGCAACCATTTTGCTTGAAGCTAGTACGGAGGAATCAAGAAAAGTTAAATACCTCTTGTAATCCTTTTTTAAGATTTGAAGTAACAAATGATATCTAAAGAACTGCAGTCACTATGACAAAAGGTTACCTTCAACTGACATTGCAAATACTTGACATGGTCAATGACACCATCCAGCAAAGCCATTTTGGCAGCCTGCAAGGCCATAGCTTGTAAGCGACTCCGCACTCAAAAGTTACCAAGTATCAGTAACAATTTTATTCATGAGTAAAATGGTTTCAAAAACTAAAACATCGTGTTTGATAAAGCAAACACTCGTACCAGTAGGTACACACCTTTTCCGGCGACATGCATGGGTCTAACTTAAAAAATAAATCTAAAAGAGAATCAGTCAATTTTTTAATCTCGGCAAAACCAAAAGTTTTTCAACATTACATTCAGAGAGGTTGTTTTGTAAGGACTTTAGCTGTAGTAACGAACAAATATGTCGGAGTTTATTATTATGTATGTGTCCTCTATCTTACCTCTTTCGATCTTATCTCCTTCGAGTGAGGTACCAATTCCTGTAATGCATCCAGCCCATGTGATATTCTCAACCTTCGACGCTGAAAAGAACCAGGTATTCAGAAAATAGATGCATGACCAATCATTTGAACTTTAAACATGGTATATAATATAAGGTGATAATCCCATACAAGCAACAGGGTCAATAAAAGATAAATCAAGTCAGATCTTAATATTTTTGTTTGACATAAATCAACGAAATCAAACTTATAGACCTATTGAAGGTTTATTGCATACACGATCAGCAGCAATGGCTTTCTCCTTCGATCTTTTTCGACGGGCTTCAGAAGTGCCTTTTGACGAAGCAGCTCCAGAACCTGAATAAGCTTGAAAAGCATTACTGGATTCTTCATTCTTCCGATTTTGTTTCTGCGTGGACAGTTACACGAGCTTAAGAAGAACATAATCGCAGCTGAGGTGTTTATTTTATTTATCATAGAAACAATGATAGTAACTGACCTGAATACCAGGTTGATCTTCAGAGCCTGTGAATGCTGTAACAAAATTTCTTTCATTATGCGGCCTCAGATATTCTTCCTATTTCAAGAAAATTGCATAATTACATCTCATGTAAGAGCTACTGGTGGCATCTATAAAACAGCATATCAGGTAACTAAGATAACTTCAAAATTGAATTTTAAATTCAAACGGGCACCTATTCTTGGCTAATGTTTGAGCACTATGTACAAATGCTTATGCTGGCTTACCAACTGAGGAGGACCCACTAGCGTCGAACCAGGTACTTGTTTTGTGATGTCGTAGGGCATTTGCCTCGAGATTTCATGGTACCCCCTCTCTGTAAGAAACTCAACATAGTTTTGAGGTATTTGTGGGGGATGCACCCATTGAGGAACTGGAAAAAATTCCGGATATATTCCATTAACCCCTGGGGTCATGGTATAGTGTTCGTTTGCATCACGATCGCTGTACAAACCAGAAGCATTGTGTGCCATCCAATTAATAGGCAGTGGTAGAAACTGCAAACGATTTTCATGATTCTGTTCTTCCATGCTACTCAAGTTCCGAAACTGCCATTAATTTTTATTCATGTTAATGAAAGCCTTCAAATTCATCAGCTAGCAGAGGAGCTAAATTATGCAGCAGATAGTTTTTTCATAAAAATTCTGGATGAAAATTTATAATTAAAAATCAATCGATAGGACATAAAATGATGATAAATAACTCGTGAGGTGTTGCAAAACAGATTAACATTGATTCATCAAAATTCCGTCGTAAAAGCAAATCATCATGACTCGAGACAGTCTTCACTCACATGCCCGAATCACTCGAAATTTACCCTAAAATCAACATCCACATACACTCGAATCATAATACATATTTCAAAAATGATTTTTCTAATTTTATTCATGTTAATGAAATCCCACAAATTCATCAGCTAGCAGATGACTTAAATTATGCATCAGATAACTTATTTTCTAAAAATGCTGGATGAAATCTATAACTAAAAATTGAATCAATAGGCCATAAAATGATGATAAAAAAACAGATTAATATCGATTCATCAAAATTCCGTAGAAAAGCAAATCATCATGACTCGAGACAGTCTTCACTCACATGCCCGAATCACTCTAAAATTCCCCTAAAAATCAACATCCACATCCACACAATGTTCCTGTTGTATATTATCCGAATCATAATACATATTTCAACAATGATTTTTCTGTTTTCCTTTCCGAATCTCACGGCTCCACCAATATTTCAAAAACACCAAAAAATTTATGTATTCTCACGTCTCAACATACAAAAAAACAGAGGAAACACACATACACGTACGGAGAAGTTTATGCACTAAAATCCTCTAAACCCTAGATTTTACAGTAAACAATATCACCAACGTGTCATTTGGAGCACAGAAAATTAAACGTTCGAGTAATTAAATTTTAAATTTACGTAGAACGCAGCATTTCTGAAAAAAAAAAAAAAATCGGAGAAATTCTTACAGGTTTTACGGTACAGTGATTCAGTTCAGGAGAGGAGATTCCGAAAACGTGAGGAGAAAATGAAAATTGCAAGGAAATAAGAGTGTGCTTGCTGGCTAAAATGCGCGGAATGCGTGCGTGGTACGTTGTGTGTGTGTGTGTGTAACAGACTCTGTACCAGTGTGGCAGGGCGAGCTGCAGCATGTTTGTTGTGGATGGTGAAGGAATTGTCAAAACTACCCCTCTATATTTCTTACTACGGAATCTTCAATAAATCAAAATAAGCATGGCTTTTTTATTTGGGCCGAACAAATAAATAACTTAATTGGAATTATTGGGCTTCAATGTAGCGTAAATCTCCAAATTGTAATTGGGCCTAGTTAAAATAAAAAGATTGGTTTATTGGGCTTCAATGTAGCGAAACTCTCTATATTCTAATTGGGCCATGTTAATATAAAAATATAAGCTAAATTTTCCATTTAATCAAGTTAAATAAAAATAAATACTAGTAACAGCATAGTTTAAAATAAAATGAAAAATTACTCAAAAAAATAAATAAATATAATAAAGTGAAATTGATTTAGAATTTTAGATACAGAATATTATAATTAATTGTGCACCACAATTTTCCAATTTACCCAGAAAGCAAAGCATATTCTCTCTCTCTCTAGACTTCTGTAGACCGTGTTTGGTCCTTCTTCATTCAAAACCTTTCAAAGTTTTTCTCCCAAAGGAAGATTCAATCAGATTTACAGTTTCCGTATCTTTCCGAGAACTCAATCTGTAGAAACTTCAGCCAATTAATTACAGGCAACCATGGCGACACCTGAAATTTTGCAGACGGAGCAAGATCTTCTTATGTACACCTCCCTCTTCAACAATCCCAAAGGTTCGATTTCTACTATGATTTTCTTTTTCCTGTTTTCTTATGATTGTTTCAGTGATCTGATTTTAGGTTATAAACTGTAAATCTTTTTTTTTTCCCTTTTTTTTTTATTTATATATTGAATATAATTGCAGGTGCAAATGTGAAATCTCGAGGAATTGAAATTGAGAAGAAGATTGAGATTCTAGAAGGATTGGCTGGAACAGTAAATTCTCACCTCTTTTTTAATTATGTGTGTATGTGTGTGTGTGTGTGTGTATTCAATTCAGTGACTTGTATTCTTATACTTTCACATTAAGGTTTATTTTGTATATGAGTTTGGAATTCTGATAGACAAACAAAATCATGAATACCTGCTAATATGCTTTTTAATTTGATTAGGTGCATAGATTTGTATATAACATATTGTGACGAACGTAAAATTATATTATGTAGGTTAGTAACCGAAGAACTCGTAGATGGGTAAACGATCGCTTGTTAATGGAGCTCGTTCCTCGTTTGAATGCCGAGGAAATTAGAGGACTCTTTGCCCCACCACCTTGGGGTAAGTTTGTTCTTCGAAAAAAAAGGGTTGATTAATGATTAATCTATCTACTTATTTATGTTATTAAATTGTTGAAACTTACTAGAATTGTTTAAGTTTGATTTAACTGAATTCATAACATGAAGATATTACTTCGAGAGTTCTTTTTTTCCTTTTCCGTTGCTTTATTTCTCTTTGTCAAGATTCGCGGCATTGTTTTTGGGCAACTAAATATCCTAGTATTTTTAAATGCATTTGATTTTTTAGGTGATGAGGTGCCTCCTTCGACTTTTTCAATGACGAATATGGAGGAGTGGGATAATTTCAGAACTATAGACATGGACAAGGAGGTGTGTGTTGTCTCTTTTTGTTTACATATCATGTAGTATTTCTTATGTTGTAGGGTTTTCATCTTTATAACATTCTGCAATGATATATTATGGAATCGTATAAGTTTTCTTTTCATTTGCAGGCATCTATTATAAGAAGTCATGAAAAATCGTCAACGAAGGGGAGAGATCGACTAGATGCAGATAAAGTTGCTGCAGTGACTGCTTGGCACAGGGTAGATAGTAGAACTCGAGAGGCACTTCGTCGTTGTTATCTTTCTGACTTGATCAATAGCTTCGAGGTACTTAATTTTTTGCCCGATTATGATTAATTACGACATTTCTACAATATCATATAATCACTATTTCGGACATTGACAATTTTTCAATTTAAAGCAATGAGAAGAATAAATTGATTGTTTCGTGCTTCTACACAAATTGATGATTGTAGTAGTCGTGTCTTCTCTTGCATCTCGTTTGTTTGCTTGGAGCATGTTTTACACTAGAAGGAAATTGAAGGGTATAGTTTATACTTTATTGTATCTTATATAAAATGGAATAATATATTTCAGGAATGCGTACGATCATTTGTCGAGGGCAACGAGGATGCAGATGTTCTGGTGCTGCATGTTCAAGATCCTTTCAATCGCTTACTATTGCATGGCGTTTGTGAGGTATATACATCTATATATACTTACAATATCGTTCTAATTTTAATTTATTTTCTTAATAATCTATTCAGTTGTAAATTTGCTACCCCCGAAATTTCTCAGAACCAAGCGAAAAAAAGAATCACACTAATGTTTTTTTTTTCTTGAAGCAGTTCTATAATCTGGTTTCGACTACAGTTGACCAGTCAAAAGGAAGTGAAACATTGAAGATGACGAGGATAAGGAAGAAGAAGCAGTTGGGTTCTTCGGATCTACCGAAAATCACGCTATGCAACTTTCTGAAAATGGCGAAAGAAGGATTCTGGTGATCCATATTGCTATGTTTGTATCAATGTGTACTATTGAAAAAAACAACCTGTGCATTTAGTTTACTTAACCGTGGTTAGTTTCGTTGGATGTATCGGCAATTACTGTCTGTTTTTTTAACCATTGTTAATAATTTGCTTTTACTGACCCAAAGATAGGTAGAATTTGCTGTGTAGAAATGCCTCATTTCTTCAGACAGGCAAAAATATTAGATGGTATCTGGGCTCTGAAGCATTCAGAATATTAATGGTTAAGGTTTTCTTTGTAATTATATTTCAGATTTACAGTTAGCTTAGTTTCATTATCAATTTATAAATAAATAGTGTCTACCAAATAAATAAATAAATATTAATTTCAATATCAATTAATGCCCACAAAATATAAATAAATAATTAAAAATTGAAGTTTGGTGAATACCTTCATCAATGTGTGATAATATAGTATTGTATTTAAGAAAGAAAAAATGGTGGCAGTCTTTTGTTGACAAGACAAAATGTTTGAATGTTGAAAAGTAGGATGTTAATTTGTATCAGTAAATTCATTATTAAGGCATAATCGCTCGCTAATTTGTTGCACAGAAAGCTAATCATGGCAAATAAGCCCGTCAAATACTTCCTGGTAATTCAGTTTTTCTTCATTTTTTACTCATCCACAGATTTTCATTTTCATAATGATTTGATATTGTACTGAAAAACAAATAGGTTGATGCATTTACCGACTCCGCATTCAAGGGGAATCCGGCGGCGGTGTGCTTGCTGGTGGAGGAGAGAGATGATGAGTGGCTGCAAGCGGTGGCGCGTGAGTTTAATATTTCGCAGACTTGCTTTCTGACTCGGCTCACCGAGTCGGCCGACTCAGTAGTCGCCTCTGTTCCCAGGTTTCGCCTCCGTTGGTTCACTACCGTTGCTGAGGTCAACCAATTTTCGCTCTTTTTATAATTTATTAATAATTTCATATTTAAAATTGTTGAAATTTGATTTAAGGTTAAATACACTTTGCACCCCCTGAATTATAGCATCCACGCAAAATACCCCACAAACTTTGAAAACTATCAAATACCCCCCCTAAACTATACCCCTGGAGTCAAGTAACCCCTTAAACTATTTCAACTGAATGTTAGATACTAAACTCTAATATATATATATATATATATACTAGTGAGGAGCACCGCGCAAGGCGCGGTGCCGGTGCTCGGATCGGCGGTGCTGATTAACAGGAACATTCCATGCTAGGTTACAGAATTTCATTCTATGCTAGGTTACGCAATTTCTTGATGATTGCATCGACCTGAGCAAAAGGAATCTCCATAACTGTTGCTTTCTTAACCAAGTACTAAGACTGAAGAATGTTCTTGTAAATTACGGTCAATAACAAGTATGCTTTAGGCATATAAGCAGTGATTTCAAATGCTAATGTTAATCATACTGTCAACAACTCTAAACAACTCTACAGATAAGTCACCCTTACTGCCGTGCCACTTTACAGAACTGTACATGAGCTGTGGAGCAATAATAAATGACAAGTAAAACATCTATTGGAAACAATAACCCAATATAGTTGAATGAAAAAGAGTGGGACCATTACAGTTTAACCATTCTCCGTCTTCATTGACACCTACAATAACATTTATACAAGCAACAAAAAAACGATGAGCCTGTCCTACCAGTACTGAAAAAAATAATTCAAGAATTTGTCGTGCCGATACGCGAAAAAAAAAACTATAGATATTTGCTAACAATGAAAACTGAATACCTATATCTACAATCACCACTCACTAGACACGATTATGCACCAAAAACAAGTGCAACTGGAAGGAACAACATAATTATAACAAGCGAGACGATAAGCACGCATACAATGCTAATCCGAATGCTAGAGCGATTAGGTAATATATGGTAAACCTGTTTTACTCTGTAAAGAAGATTCTAAAAGTTCAGCAAAATTCTAGAGGATAAAACAAACCTGCTTTCGAGATTTTGCATCCGAAAACATAAATGAAACATGGCATGCCGGCTTAAATGCTCCAACTAAAAAAATATGAGAATAAAAATCGACATGTTCTTCAATGACAAAACAGGAACAAGAACAATAATATTTAAGAATGTCGAGCAAGGGTTGAAACTTTACCATTGCCGAAAATTAACTCAAAATTAAATCAAATCGCCAGCAGAAGCACCTGCAACAAAATTATTTCAGAATTCAAGACCATAAATTATATCAGAATTATAACTGGATATGAAACAAATCCACAAAAGATCACATCCAAAGAGTATAAAGACTGCTCAATAATTCGTGAATAACATAAGCGCAAACTCTCTAAATGAGCCGACGACAACACTGACCTCAGCGACTGCCATAAAAAAGACGCGGGGACGCCGGCCTGCCTCATCTTGTTCAAAATCCGGTTAATCGAGTCGTTCAATTTATCAATGCCGGTCTCGACTTCCGAATATCAATTTCCATTTCGCGCAGTGCTCTGAAACGGGGCATCAATGGAGGGTAGGACGGTGCAGGGGGGGGGAGAGAGGGAGGAAAGTAGCTGTTAGGGGGAGGGGGGCAGCTGGGAATTCTTGAGATGGTGGACGGATCCGAAAGGAATATCGGAATTTCTGGATGTGGAGGAGGAGGCGCGGCGGAGCAGGTGGGGGAAAGATGTGGTGGGAAGCGATGCGGGCGGTGACCGGGGCGGCGAGCGAGGAGGCGGCGGCGGCGGGCGTGGAAGTGGGCGGGAGTCAACGATTGCAGGCCTCCCGTCCCATGGCTGTGTGGAACAAAAGGGAAACCTGCTGTGAGAATTGGGCGGCAGAGGAAATCGAAATGAAGGAAGAAAAAGGCAGGGCTCTGAGTGGAGAAGAAGAGGGGCGGAGCGGCGGTCAACATTTGCGGCGGCAAAAGGGAGAGAAGAGAAAAGGGGGAAATTAATTAAATGGAAAAGAAAAAGCAGGTCGATCGTGCATTTTCGGGAATAAAAGGAAAAAGAAAAGAAAGCTGCACGGTGATTGGTGGATTAAAACGAAACGGCGCCGTTTCAGATTAAAAGAGGCCAAAAATAAAGCGTAGAAAAATAGGGGGGCGAGAATTGGGGGTTATGAACATATATATATACTTAATATATATATATATATATATGCCTAATTGCATCTTGTGGTGATTTATTGTTTGATTCTAATTCTACATATGTCAATTAAAAAAAAATCAGATTTTTTAAGTTGGTGATTTGTTAGTACAGGTAAAACTCTGTGGACATGCAACTTTAGCTGCATCCCACACCATATGACTAATTAATACCAAATACAAAAAATAATTATTTGATTTGGACCAATTGGCTGTTTGCAAATGAAAGATGCTTCCAATCAGTACAAAGGCGTGCTAGAAAATATTAAATTTTCATTTCATGTTTAAACAACTAATTAAGGCTCCAATCATCAATATTATTATTTTTAAAACTAATTTTATATATGTAGTGATGCCTAATTTTCTTATGCTACTCCAAATTTAGGTTGACAAATACTCCAACTCTCTAGCACGAATATTGTCAACATTATGTAGGTCCTAATTATAAAAAAAAAAAAAAAAAAAAAAAATTCAAATACGCTTACCCTCGAACCCCGTAAATATAAGGTATCGAATATTAAGTTAAGTATTAACAATTGAAGGATAATAATTTTAGCAATCGATATAATATAAGGTATCGAATACAATTAACGCCGGTAGCTTTGCGCCAAAAACCTTAGCTTAATGGCCAAGCACAAATAATGAACCACAATTGTATTTTAGGAACTATAAAGTATGTCAAACACTTCAGCTAAAGGTGTTAAGTTTACCTACAAAATGGGTGAGGGGTTTTTCGTAAGATAATATCTAGTAAATGATATGATTGTAATTACCCTAATAGGAGAGGTTTATTCGTAATTTGTGGTCGTAATTTACCGTGTGGGTCATTTTGATGTCGTCAATGTCGACGTTTCGCTACTTGTCGCATGGTTTCTTTAATATGAACTAGCTAGTAACCAAGTCTAGCAACCAACCAACATGTAAATATACAAGTAATGCTTATGTCAATGATTTTTCTTTTTTTAATTATAATTATTGCCTCCATCAATTAATTGTTAATTAATCTCCATACATCTCTCTTTAATTAATTAGTTATCTTCATTAATCAATTTCATTTCTTCCTGTTTTCTGCACTCTCGTCTAGCTTTCTTTCAGTTTGAGTCATGGTACAAAATACCAATCAAGAAGAGGCATTTCCTAATGGAGAATCCAAGGTAAATAATCATATATATTTCTCGTCTCCCAAATTAAATTTAATTAAAAATAAATAAAAATTAAAACCCTTTATTTGAAACTGAAAATATATCTAATTTTATGGTGTTATTATTATTATATTACTAGCATGCCACTATAGAATGTGAAGTAGAAGAATCTTTGTTATCACCAAATTCACCAAACCAAAACAGCAGGCCAACCAGCATGATCATCAAGGCAAGTCTCAAATCCTCCTATTTATGAAAATATCTAAAATTACTTTATATTATTTAAAAAAAAAATTTAGTTCGTGTTATCGAATTTTGAATGTCGATTTTTGTTGTTGTTGTTGTTGTTGTTGTAAAAAACGATCGAAACAGAAAGCACACACAGTGATTCCAGCACACCTAGTGGCCGAAGCCATATCAACCCTCCACGGGCTCGACCTCAGATGGTCGGGCCCTATCACACCTACCGAAAGAAAATACGTCCAACAATACGTCTTTGCAAAGTACCCCGAGTACTCCAACGGCCTCGTTGTCGACCACGAACAAAATCCCGATTTGTTTCGCAGCCTTTGCATCAATGAAAAAGACGAATCATCATCATCATCATCATCATCATCATCATCATCATCATCATCATCATCATCATCATCATCATCCGAACTATCGACGTCGAAGAGCTCCCCAAAGAACAATAACGCGTCATTTTCCTTCTCGCCCTCCTCGGTGGCTAATACTTCCGACATGAGCAAAATCCAATTAGAGCCCTCCAAATTGCTCGATGTTCTCGCAAAGAAGGCCTCCTTCGAGGGCAATTTCGTCTCGATCCCGGAAATCCAGGCACGGAATCGAGCCTTGGAGAATTGCGGGTTGGCCGAAGAGGACTACACGGTCGTGTTCGCACCTAGTGTGAGAGAAGCAATGATGATGGTCGGAGTAGCGTACCCCTTCTTCCGAGGGAATTATTACATGTCGGTTCTTAGCGAGTTACGACGATGTAATACGAGAGTTTGTTTCGTACAAGGATTCGAAGGTCGTTGCGGCACCGGAGGCGTGCTTGGATTTGAGGATAAGAGGATCACAACTTAGCCAGTATTTTAGGAGGAAGTGCAAGCACAACCCTAAGGGACTTTTCGCGTATCCGGCTTGTACTATTGGGGACCGCTCTTCGATGCATTGGATATCGGAGGCTCACAGGAATTGTTGGCACGTGCTTCTTGATGCGAGCGGATTATTGGATGTGGGGAAGGGCGGCGATCGGGTGGCGTTGGCGCTTCACCGGCCGGATTTCGTGATTTGTACGGTGGAGATAGGCCGTGCTCAGCCCTCGATAATTACGTGTCTTTTGGTGAGGAACAAGTCATTTGACATTGCTGCATCAACTTATGCATAGGTGTTTGATGGTTCTTTTTTTCTTTTTATGAAAAAATTGTGATATTTGATTCTTACGATTTTTTCGAATTAAGTTGTATTAGGTTTTATGATAAAATTGAATTAAAAAATATTAGACTTTAATTATAAATAGTTAAATCGATTAGTATATATGTTATTGTCAATAGTTGAGCTTAATCAATTCATATCTCTGAGTAATGTTTACGAATTGAAAGGACTTGAGCTTAATCGATTCAAAGCTTGCGAATTTTCTAAATTTTATGATTTACTACTTGATTCTTATGATTTTTACGAATTAAATTTTATTATTTTTATGATAAAATCCAATTAAAAAGATATTAGAATTTAATTATAAATAGTTAACTCAATTAATACATTCTTGTCAGTATTTTTTAAAATCTTACGATCCAAATAGTTTAATCGATTCAAATCTTACGATTAATATGACAATTAATAGTTTATTTTACATTATGCATATAAGTATTATAATCATTTTACGTTGTTGTTTTTTACACTTATTGTTAGATAGTTTAAAATAAATTGATTTTGCCCAATAGTAAGTACTCTTGTATTCCAAGTTCCATATGTCTCATGCTCGATCCTCACCCGATGCATTTTTGGGCGCATTTTCGCAGAATAAATAAACCGGTTCCGGGTCAGTTCTGGTTACTTGGGTTAAACGAGCGGGTATACCCATCGGTTATGGGCTTCATATATCATAAATTGAAACCAGCCTGTAAATTCCATACGGGTACATGCTTCTGTTCTTTGGGTCGATTCCAAACAGTCAACAGGCCAGTTTCGAATCGAACGGGCCCACAGTCGTGTCTATGAGAATCAATCTAGTATTAAACGTTAATTTTCATTAAATACTTCTAACTTAGTAGTAATAACCATATAATAAGTTGTGGAATTAAAGCACCCATGCTTAAGTTAGTGAAAGACGAGCTCGAAAATGAAGAACTAATTATGCATAGTTTGGTCCCAGTCGAGATCATGAATTGGAGTGAGCTAACAAAGCAGGTCATGAGGCAAACTGAGCTCAAAGACTTGAGCCCGTCTAATCATTCAGCTGAGAAGACGTGTTACTATTCATTTTCGTATTTTATTTTTGAACACTTTATTTATTTCTATTTACAGTAAAAGTTGGACTGAATTTAGTTTATTTGGTTATTTCTTGATTATAGATAAGTTATGAGTTATTAACATTGTTAGATTAGGTCTCCTTGAGACTTTATCAATAGATTGTTTTTTGGTCATTATTATTTGGAAGTGTTTTAGCATTAATTTTGAGAGATTAAAATTCTTCTTTGTTGTTCTACAACAGCTCTTCACGATATTTGCAAGTGGATTCTTGTAATTGTTCTTAGCTACATAGTATTGATTTCTGATTCCTTATAATCACGGGGTCAATACTCTCAACTTGATAATACTTGTTTATAGTTTCGACCCTCTATAGCTACGGAGTCAATATTCCTTGCTTACGTCAATCGAATCCATTGTTTTTTGACGTTCTGTTCTTGCTTCCGCGTAAAATTATTGAGTCTCATAACAAGTTTTACAGTGCTCGTATCAACATCTCTCCGCAACTCTCTTACGTCACGCCGACATAATCATCCGCTTCCGCCATTGGGCCATCGAAGCAAATGGTCACATACATGACTTCCCCTCGTCTGCCATCTGTGGAATAACACATTAAACAATGTAAAAAAAATCAAATTTTGAACCATTTCGTATAGATTTCCACGAAAATAAACCTTCTGTTTCGTGGAAATCTACACGAAACGCATAAAAAAAATACATTGCCCTATTGTGTGCTAGAGTCCGTTCTTCGTAGCACGAAACAAACCCCTATTATTTCCCAATTCAATTGATTCAACAATACGCCTAATCTAATCAAATCCAATTTGTTAACTAAACAATATTACGATGTTAAATTTACGTAAACAAATAATGATTTACCTCAAATCATTGTCGTAATTGCTCATTGATTACCGAGAGTTCAAAAAGAGTTTGAAAGGATTTTTGTTTTTTTGAGAGTTTGTAAGATTCATGATTTTTGATTTAAAAGTTACAAACGAAATAGAGTCGCACTGTAAGCGAATAAAATTCGCATTAATAATAGCAATTCAGATCAATAATCATCTATGACTTGACAGTGTATTTAGAAAGAAAAAAAGGGGGAAGTACGATTGAAATCTATGAGGTATGAGCTGCTCCATGTGAAATAAATTTTAAAACCCAAAAAAAAAAAGAAAAAAAAAAACCACTTGTCCATCATGTAAATAAAAAAGGAGAGAGAAAATTGTGTGGGTTTTTTTTTTTTTTTTTTTTTTTTTTTTTTACTTTGGTAGTATAGCGGCAATATACAACAAGCAATGCGCATCCTAGCAGAAGTTGCGGCCCACGTTAGCTGCTGGCGGTATCTCGAAATGCCACAGCCGCCCAACCGCCTTCACGAAATGCTTCTTGCACAGAAACGCCTCGGCGTACATCTTCTCGACCCTGCGGTCCATATCGTGCACGAAAACGTGCGTCACACCAGATTTTTTCCGGTTCTTCGCCATCACCGCCGCCGAATATATAGCCGCCATTCTCCCTGGCGCCTCCGCAAAGTACCCCCGCGGCGCGTCCACCATTATCATGTCCCATTCCGTATCGTACACCTCATCCGACAGCATGTTTAGTGCTAACCTGCGCAGGATTAATCAAAGATGTAAATAGAACCCCAAATTTCTAATTATAAATGTATTTTTAGTATTGAAGACTATTTATTGAAGTGAAAAATGTCAAAAGAATATCATAATTGCAGTATTAAAAAAAAAAGAATAGAAACAAAATCGGAAGATC